TTCTTTTTTTCACCACGTTTCTTTTTTATTATTTATGTACACCCTTGCCAAATCTTGCAAACATTCAAAAGAGAGAATGTTTGCGCCTGTTATCTATATTTTAAAATCGTTTTTTGAGTATGTTCCACTATTCACAATTCTACAAAATTTTAACAGTCTACAGCCAAGACTGTTTGGATAAAAAAAAAAAAAATCACTCCCAAGTGCCCACGAACCTGCATCTCTATCTTAATCAACATCTTGTAAATGTCACGGAGCAGAAGGTTTGGTAGATGCTGACAATAAGTGCGATTGGCGACTTATACCACATACCACGACGATCCGACTAAAAAGCATTATAAATTCACACGCTGCTCAGCTGTATTACTGTCAGTGGTAAGGTAATTTGCATCAACACAAACGACTCAATTTAGTTAATTGTGTACATATCACGTGATGACAATTATACATCTGCACAGTCATTCCAACCGAATGCCCCATTGAATAGGTGTTACAGGTACTGACTTCTAATACAAAAGTCGCGGTTCAAACTTGGCCAACATTTTCAATAGAGGTCTCACTCACCTATAAACTTTCAAACCTTGACACCTGCCCAAGCTCCACGTTAGAAAATGTCGAACACTAACAAGTGTGGGAAATATTACCAGTGTACTGACAGCAACCTCCGAATGAAACAAATCAGGGCGTTTGCTAATCTGCGTGTGAAAACAACAGTGGCAATTACTGATCCGTATATGAAAAGAACCTGAGACAAAAGACCAAGTGTGGAATTACAAAATTAAACATACAACAAATATTACTAATATTTTGACATTGACACTGAAGTATACGATTAAATATATGCACATGTCCAAAAATATGCCTAGAGCTGGCTTGCATACAGTCCCTTCTCTGTTTTTTGTTGTTTTTTAATAAAATAAAATATATCGGTGCCTTTCAATTTTGATTTTATTTTGAATAAACATTATCTATGTTAATGTAACAATTGTGAACTATAGACTTTCAAACTGTTAATATTGAGATAATGTAGACTGCGTGCCAGATAAGACACACACTATTTATTGTGGGTGTAACTGTATGTTGAGAAGTATATGATATAAAATTGCATTTCTATTTCGTATTATATGCAGATTTCTTCCGTTTGGTTATGATCACAATAGAAAAATGATAAGTAATGAAATCCAAAAAAAATATTTTCATTGTTGTAATCACTTAAGTTCGTGAGAATTCTCATCGACTACACAATATTCAAAGCCTTTATTATTTTTACAGTGGTTAGTAAGAGGTTTTCTTAACTTGGGTGGAGGAGGGGGGGGGGGCATTTCTTAAAATTTGTTTGGGGTGTGCCGGGACTTTTTTTCTAAAAAAAAAATGGGTGTTGGTCACCATATTTTTACAATGGTAAAAAGTAATGTCACCACCCAGGATGAAGTAACTGACCGGTCCCTTAACGGCAAATTACTAAGTCCTATAGAAAAATGAAAACAATCCAACCATAGATTACCAAAAAGATCGCATTTTTGTAGATCCATTGAAACTGGCGCTGAATCTCATTATGTTATGTTGTACAGAACAAGAAATATAAGGAGCATAAGAAATTAGAAAAAAATTAAATAATAAATTGGATATTGTTGAAACTTTTACTCGTCAAGTTGTGTTGATTGAAAATATTGTATTTTAAAGAAACACCACAAGAGGGCGCTATCTCTTGACCTCAAAAATGTGCAGCGAAGATTAAGGCATTCCCATCCACTCCAGAGCCTAACTTGACGCACGACTTTACTGCAGGTGACAGTCTTACAAGGTATTTGCATAATTTGGGCAGGGGACAAGGGTCAAGGGTCTGAGTGTATGGAGAGTGTTGTCACCAGAAGTAGAAGTGCCACCCTTTGGGATACATGTCCGCAGTGCCAACCGGAAATAGCAGGCAAGAAATTGATTCCGTGTTTGCTAAACGATTTTTTGCCATAATACATTACCTGCTTACTGCTTGCTGGTTGTGCGATATTAATAATAATAATAATAACCCAAATTACTAAATATCTTGCCATTTAGCATGGAAATCAAGCGGGCATGGTTTGTCAATAGTTTGAAATCCGTTTTGACATGTCCCCCTTTTAAAACTCCTTTACTCCCATGGGCCTTTACTTTAATCCAGTTCAATATCCTGTAAATTATGCAATTGATAATCATAATCATAATCATTACTTCGACATGTAAAACCATGGTGAGAAGCACATTTGCATTTGGCCAGTTCATCATTATGAATCGATCTGCTTTACCACAGTCAGTTGTCGATCGAAGGACTCATGGCTTAATTAACACATGTAATAATGAATGTTCATTTACTTCAGTGCAACGACGATGGAAACCAGAATATTTAGATGATGTCTCACTCATCCATGAATGAATCAACACCACTTCTGTCCAATGAGACGGCATTGCAGCCTCTGGTCGTAGCGTATCCTCCAAACACACCGCCACCGCCTTATACCGCCATCGATGAGGACTGTATATTAACCTATTCAGATCCACCTTCTTATGAAAGGTACTATGAGATTAATTTAGTTGGGGAATTATTTTAACTGAAACAGCAATTTTGTGTGATGCATTTTAACTGTAAAAGTTATGTGCATAATGAGGAGTTTAAAACAATTCTAAGTCAGGGTTTTCCCTAACTTTCAAAGTAGAAGGCTAAATTAAAATAGTAGGAGGCTCCCAACAGCTTCGCAGCGCAATGCGAGCATGTTGCTTTCGCGGGGAAGGGCAGGAGTGGGGTCTCCCCCTCCGTAGACCGAAGACTTTTAGAAAGTGCAAGACATATTTGGTGGCAGGTTTGAATATATTTTTGTTCATTTTGCATGTGGGCATGTGGTTTAAATAAAGACCAAAATAGAAATTTGTTTATTGTGAAAGATTTTATTTGTGATAGTTTTATTTATACATTTTATTCCCGTCTTGTTTGCCTGTGCAATCCTACGTTTGGACGCCATTTTTCAAATCAACCATGTGACAACAGGTGTGACCTTAGACCTGCAGTTGAATTCTGTAGACGGCCGTGCGTGATCGTGTAGACGGCAAATAAGCCGGCGACCAGCTTCTAACAAAAACCCTGCTAGGTATTTTGAATTCTGGAAACAATGGAGCCCAACTTACAGGCAGATTTACAGACAACTTAATTACAGTGTACACATTTTTATATTAATTTGCATTTCATATGATCCAGAGTAATATTCAGTGCAGGGTAAAACGGTCAAGAAAATTTGTCACTATCTAATAGGGCTAGCAAACCTGGAAAAAATGCTATCCCACCTAAAATCTTATTGGTCCTCCTACTTTTTGCAAGGGTAGTCTCTTTTCGCCATCATTGTTAATTGAAGCTAGAAAACATTTACATAGCAACGCTCTCAAACAGTAAGTCATCAATGGAGATATTGGGAGAGCTATTACTAGAGAGAGCTTGGTATATTTACTCTGTACTGGGACATGTGCCTGCACTCCTGTGATAGTTGTAACTGACAAATATGTTTGTGTAAAACTAGCAACTTTATTACTCAATCAAAACTTGTTCTTCATTTGTATTCAAATTCAAATAACCGCAAATTGTGAGCCACAGTATTTCTTGCAAAATTTCTGGTATTGCTTGCAAGGTTACTGTATGATTTGATGCTATCCAACTTAAAATTGGTACATCCTCTCACTTACATGTCTGCGTTTATTTTTGGCACACATCTCAGAACATTTCCCCCTTTCCTTTCATAATAAAGAATAAAAATCACGGGCACAATCCATTCATTAAAACAACAGTAAAAAACCACTAGTCCTTCGGATTTTATGCTGGTCCTGAGTATGAGTGTCAAACCCTGCAGCGGTGGCTTAGGACAAGATCACCAATGTGGACTAGGTGTCAAACAAAAATGTACATTTCATGTTGCTGAAAAACATTTACACATTACATTACATGACATGGGTTTCTTTGGCGTCTCAAACTTTTTAAGAAATGTAACCCTTTAACTTTTTATCATTTCACAGTGCTATAGGAGCGGGAGCAAATACTGATGAAGACATTTACGATGATGAAGAAAGTGTTTATGAGAACAGAACATGTTGTGGTGGGTGTTACGGCTGTCACATGAGACAAACAAGCGAGTGGGGAGCTGCGGAAATCACCCTATTCATCCTACTCCTTGTTGTGTTTGGACCGTTTGCATTATTGTTTCTATTGAATTCGTAATACCATGTACTAGATTTGTAAACATCAGCAATGCTGTAGATTTCATTGCGAGGTAAACCATAATGAGTGGCAGAAAAGGATACTGGCTCCGCTGGTATCCAAAAGAGAAGAGAAGTGGGAATATTTCAATTCCAGTGGTACATGTACAGCTCCCACCTATAGCTCGAGAGTAATGCTGGTTTCACCAAAATTGCAAATTAAGCTTGAGGCACGTTTCAATGCAAGCTATTCCAAGTTTTGCGGTTTTAGCAAATGCCATGTTCATAGAAACATTGTATATCTACTTATTTTTTTATTACTGTACATAAAATTATGTATTCTCACTTTGGTTTGTTGTTGTACATGAATTTGTTCTAGGTATTAATGTTGCGTGTTCAGAAAAAAAAAAGTTGTATACAGATATACAATACCAACATAATTTCTGTGTATTTACTTGACACATGCAAAATATATATTTTGTATTTTCGTGAAAGAATCAAGTTTGATTATAAATTTTATTGTGAATGATTGTGAAAATCAAAGATTTCAATGTTCAATATACAAGGATGTTTTCATTCATTGCATTTGTGCTATATACACACTCACCGATGGGTGACGACATGTACGCCTGTACATACACATAATCCTGCGTCTATAATTGATTTCATATGCAGAGTATTTCTCATAGTTGACTTTGCACAAAAAGAGATCAGATAGAATAGAATAGACCGTATTCAAATGATCTATCTAATCAAACTACTCGTAATCACGGACACTATGGCTTTAGAGAATAGAACATTACTTGGCAGAACAAAAACAAAGTCACATGCCAATGAGATCTTGGTGGCAATGTGTAAATAAGGTAAATTTAATATATATTTGTGAAGATGGTACAAAAAGAAGCTCAAACTTTTATTACTTCATCTATAGACAACTACGACATCAACAGTTACAATTTTATGAGTTTACTAAATAGTACATTTTCTACAAGATGAATAGTGATACCTAAAGCAATAAATGATCTTACATATCATAGAAAAGATCAATTTTATTTTCTTTCAACAAAGAATGTAATACAACTGTAAAACAATTAAATGTATAGAAAATTAATTTTTGACTCCAGTTTAGGAAGAACACAATGGGGGTCTGAGCAGTTACCCTATCAATATGTATATACATCAATGTATCTTAGTTCCAAGGATATCATCAAATCACATTTCACATCACTATTCAAGGAAACTATACGTAAAGACTATTAATTTTGGGTTAAAAACATTACTTATAATTTTCATAATTATTAAATTTTCGGCTTTTCAATCAATATTTTAAATACAAATTGTCATACTTAACCAAAACTTAGGACATTGCACAGACCTGATTAGTTTTAGGTAAATATATGTGCATATTAATCATCTGATTTGCATAATTCAGCTTTTCCTCAATGTCTTAAAAACTAATTGTATTTTGATGAATCTTGGTACATAAATGCTCTAAGGAAACTAACAGTAACTACCTGATTTATGCATAATTTTCTACAGATATCTCAAATAGAACTTATTGCATCTCAATAAGACGTGGCATACAGATTGAAATTTAAGCATACTAATTACCTGATTTGCATATAAATCTTCACATTTAAAACATTGATACTCTGGGGGTAATCCACGGATGCGATTTGTTTAATGTTGAAAACCATGCATATTGATTATCTATTTTTTTTATTAGCAAATGCCATTATGATATCGATGAAGATCAGATTTAAATAGCACTTGTGGCACAGGTGCTTGGGAAAGGTGCAGGTTTATTATTGCTTCAACTACTGAGAATATTGTATTTTTGAGTAAATACTGAAAAGTGTACACTTACAATACTTTTTAATACCCTGTTATTGATATATTTACATTGAGATCCACTGCATAATATTTTGTACACATAACCAAGTATACTATACACTGTATGCATAGTAACATAACCTCTGAGGTAGTTTGACCTTAAGTCATCAAAAATTTAATTAATCTGAGTAATGGTACGTTTTATAACCCTCAAAACTACTCTTAATTTGTTTACTACTTTGCACAGATCAAAGTTCGATTTGATGTATTTAGTGTAACATATTACTCAATGCATGGTGTTCAGGAGTTGAAAGGTAGTTCTGTCACTGCTGTCACTCATGCATGCAAATGAAAGATAAAGTACACTATATTTTCACTCTTATAATATCCTAATATGTTGGTTCATGAGTGAGTGGTATTTAACAATATCACATATTTTTCATAACATTTTGATAAATATACAAAATTTTATACTATATCAATTAAGATTTAATTCTGGAAAAAAGAAATAAGGGCAGCCAAACTAGCTTTCATGAAAACATAGTTTGATTTCAATAATTAAATGGCATTTCGTGTAAAGTCAAGGCTAGTAATCCATAATATTGTTTGTTGTGCGTATATTTATTATTAGCAGTACTGATTAATCTACTAATGCATTGCATGTAAACTGCATGCAATATATTACGTATCAATTCTATTGACAAAATTTTATCACAAATACATTAAATTATTAATGCGTGGCCCTGAAAAAAAGAGCTTACCCTTATTTTTATCCTTCATCTTGAGAATATTAAAAAATAAAAATAAAAAACAACTTTGTGAATGAAAAATGAGGGATGTATTTGTACACATATTTTTAATAGCGCAAATGATATGTTGTTCTGATATAATATGAAAGAAGCATCTCGCCATCAATTAACATTCACTACACATTTTGGTGTTTCAAGATCGATCAGTCAATCATTGTTTTGATGGTTGTCATAGCAATAATCTGCAGATATAATTCCTGTAAATTTATTAAATTTAATTCTCAAAAAATTCACAAAAGATTTATGTCGCACAATCCATGCGGTAAAGGTATTATTGTTGAAAGAACTTTGAAGCTTTCTTGATTTTGCATTGCATTATGGGTGGAGAATGAACACCGAGGGCGTATTTTGGTTGCACTGTCAAATGACATAGTAATTTGCATATACAGGAATCTTTATATATTGGCTTACTCGTATCTGGATAATGAGTTATTTATTGCTTTATACATCTTGCCATGTTCTGGAGTTCTCGGAAGACACAATAATTTCTTTATCTTTCAGATCCAGTGCTGCTGTCCCGTGGAAACACATATTAGTTAGAACAACTATGTATTCAAAAAAGGCAAAAACTGTATAAACTGAAAAAAAAATGATGCATCAATTAGTTTTGTGGACTGTTTTAATGCAGAAACTATCTACACCAGAATTGTGAAGATTATGCTGTAAGTAACTAGTACCATAGAGTTGCTTACCATATGGTTCACAGTATTTATTATGTCTCCAATAAAGGTATAACATCAGAAGAATAGAAATACTTGTCACCAACCAACAAATCACTTTAATTTTTGAAGACTGAAAGATTAAAAGAATGAAATAACCATGATTATAACCGTCACTACTAGTAACAATAAAGTTTATTCACTTTGGTTCATTATTCTACTGTTATACATGTAGCAATTGCATATCAAACATCACAAACCTCATCTGAATTTTTGAGATATGGGATAGACCCTTTTAGATAGACCCATAAGTTGGGAGCCCTCACAGTTCCCTTAGGGAGAGACCTGTCAGGTGAACTCAGAAAGAGGCTTTTAAGTAAAGAAACTTCTCTTAAAGGGGAACCGCTCAATCCCATGGATTGCACCACATGCTCATGGGTAATTAACTCCGCCTCTGGCCACTAAGTAAATGAATGCTTATTGTGCTCGCTTACTTAAACTGTGATTGACAGGCATTTTGCATACATTAGCCGCCATTTTAAATTCATGATTTTTACAGTACGTTTCGACCGAAAACAACAACATTTATACATCAAAAGCCCAACCATATGAGTGTAATCTTTAGCGTACATATTCATGCCCCCGTAGAAATATATTTGGAATCACAGCTTGATCTTTAAACATCGTAAATTGCACAATTCCTGGAGCTCCCACGACAATGTGAGCGGCTAGGTTCGGATTAGCATACTAATTGCGGTGGCATTCTTGCCCCTACTTATAGTATCGGTTCCCTTTTAAGGCATTAATTTCAATTTTGAAAATTAGTCAAGACATTATTTTACTATGTGAAAGCTACTTCAATAAAGTGTGTCTTACTTTTGGAAGATTGGTTTCCTATGCATACAGCAAAAACATGTCTTTACCTACAAGCCCCCTGGTTCAACTGTGAGAGCTCTCGACTTATGAAAGGGTCTATCCCAAATTTCAAACAAGGTTTCTGATGTTTGATATACCATTACAAAACATTAAAAACAAATTAAAGTTGAAAAAAATTGGAAAATCATCAGACTCACCTGATAGTCTCGATGTCGCTGTGGCAACCAATGGAACAGTAAAACTACCAATGACATGTAAGCAAATGACATTAACAGAAACAGTACAGTGCAGGCCTCATGAAATGCTGCAATGAAAACCACAGTCTGTTAAAAATTAGAAACTAATTATTCATTTTAACTTTCCCAATTCGATGATTTAATGGCATTTGTGAAGACAAAATTTTACAAAAGTTGCTGTCACTTTGAACCCCAGAAAATTTTCACTTCATGAAATTCACAAAAATTTGTCTCGTGCGAATTTAAAGTGGTTTACAGTTTGCAAATATACGAGCATGTTATTTAACTTGTTTAAAGTAAACTAGCTAATAAAATGTTTTTTACATAATAAAATGTTCAAAGGATTTTAAATGAGTTTACTTAAAGCGTCACCTGCGCACGCACGGAAATTGAGTCCCAAGCGACGATAACAACACACGCTAAAAACACAAAGGCTCATGGGTAGATGCTAGCAAAGAGTAATTTACAAGGTTGTGTCTGTAAGATAATTTGTGTTATGTGACGCGATTCTGTTTTTGCAGCATGCTACACTGTTAAACAAAGAAAGGTGTTCAAATATATGTAAATATGATGCGTTTTTTTTTCAAATAAGAAAGATATACTGAATTTTATTGTTTTAAACTGCCAGGTGTATATTAATAATATACAATGTTAACCAATCTGTCACAGCATTTTATCACTAGAGGGTGCCACATATTCACAGATAAACTTAATTTTCATCAGCAGCAGCAATTGGAAAATACTGTAGAATACTTTATTTTCGCTATTTTCGCTGAAGGGATGATTCTGTTAAAATAAATCCAGTGAATATACTTTTTTTCCTATATTTCACATTAAACTTATTAAAAATCAGTGAAAATAAATTCCAAGCAAAACGCCCAAAAAGCCTTTTCAGCGAAAATTAATTCCAGTGAAAATAAAGTATTCCACAGTAGTGTACATACCAAAATATTCTGTTGATGAAACCGACGTAAGCAACATCAATGAGAATATTTCAATCAAATTACAAATGAAGGCTATTTTACAAAATGATTCATAAGTATGGCCATCAATGGTTGATTCTTGGCTGTGACCTTTCAACCATGTGTTATGCATATAAGCGTAGAGTAAACGTGGACCGCTGTGTAACGAAATGGCCGTTCTCCATATGTAGCGTTGAGGTGTATAGTCACCGATTGATGCACTTATTGATGGCAAGAGATTCGGAACCTGTAAACAAAAAAAACAAGATAAATTTAAATACTTTTCGGTCTTGTCACACGCCAAACTGATTTAATTTTGAGAGACCCAAATTTTGATGCACAACTTTTCTTAATTTTTTTGTTAATTGAAAATATTTGAGTATACATGGACTTTCTAACTGAAAACTACAGAATTTTTAATCAAAATTTGAAAAATATGAAAACATTCTACAGGTTTACTGGGTGGAAAGAGTTTGGTACTCAAATGTTAACAAAGAGAAACTTATGTGCTGAATTTTTGGGGGGAATGTTATCGTGTGCAGGCCCCCCTCCAGCAGCTTCTAAAATTACTATCTAAAAGTATTTTGTGCCAAATTTAAATACTTTTTAAATTTAAATGATGATTATCAATAGTGAATATGGATGTCACATGAATTCTATGAGATATCTAAATGCCTAATAATTGTCTTAAGTTTTACGAGCAATTGAAAATTTTAGTAAATTTAATTTCTTTCATATATGAATTATCTGAAACTTGATCCAATGATGTAGAAATGTAAAGAAAAATCTGTTATATTCTAGTAAACTAATTAGATAATAGAATGTAACACTGTGCATGACGAATCTATAAACAACTGAACTAATACATTTGCATAATACTATCTTATTACTTATTCATTACATCTTTACATAATAAATATGTATGACAAGTACACATTTCAATACACGAATAAGCTCGTGCATTACCAATAAATTAATGACAATTGTCTCAATAGTACCACAGTATATATATCTTGCCATGTAATCATACAATACAATATAAATACCGTTATTAATATGCACTGTACTGTAAGTGTAATGAAATAAATGTAATTTTCAAATGTGGAGTAAATAAATAAAAGTTGGGTATTTTTTTCTTACTTGCCATTTTTTGGACCCGGATCTAAACACTGGACCAATGAACGAAATGCTCAGAATGTGGTAATATTTTTTTTTCAACAAAGTGGCATACTTACATCACAGTGTGTACTGGTTGCACCGTCGAAATCCCTCAACAACGCAATGCACACACAGATAAAGAACGCACACAACGGAAGAGACGTTACAGCGAGGGCTACCCGAGAAACGTTAGCTCTGAATACGGTTCTAGTCCTGTTACTGCCGTTAATTGGTAAAGGGAGAGACGATAACACGGCGACAAGAGGAACAAGCAGCGAAGCTGTAAAAATAAACGAGTCCATCGTTTACTTGACGGTGAGAAACCGATGATCAAAACGCCGGGAATCACGAAAGAGTCGTTTTCAGTGATTCTGCTCACGTCGAATCGCATGGGATGATGTGCCAATGATTAATTAATGAGCATGTTACATGGTATTCTATTGGTCATATTAATCAAATTATATCTGTGATTATAATGCCGTCCTAGAATATTATTTCGTTTTTGCTCGAGTCATTTTCTATGTCATAAGCCAGTTAGTGAATGAATGGCGCCCACAACCCGGGTACATGGAGAGGGGTTGGGTCAAAGGTGAGCCATTGATCTGATAATATATTCGATAGGTTCCAGACAGCAATATAAATATGATAAGGTCCCTGGACGAGCTCTATATACTCCATAAATCAAACGCGTTAAAACTATGTCTGATACGTGCCACACATAAGCTTAAATAAACTCTAGGTTATTGCGAGATATGGAGGAAATGCATACGAACAAACAAACAAACAATATTTTTTTTGGTCAAAATGGCGTCGTCTGGTGTCACTCGTCAAATGATGTTGAGAAAAACGTGAGTAATTTTCAAATTATTGATTATTTTGTGTCTGTTTTTACTCGGTAATTTTTGGTTATTGTCATTTCTTTTGGAGCGCCAGGTAACTCGATAATTATTATACTTCAGGTTGTAGGTCGCATGTTTACCATTTTTACACTACGGTTTGTGGAGGATTCTAAGGGGCTTACCAATGAAACTACGGCGGAGATTGGCGTCATGGAAGGCTAGAAAAAAGAGCTGTTGGAATTGAGCAGAAAAAAATGCCCAGTTGCTGTATATTTTTATGTAAACAACGGAAACAATTTACTTGTCAATATGCAACTCTAGGTCGCATATTTTTTTAAAAAGCAATTTCTCACTCACCCTTCTGGTTTTAAAATAGTTAGCCAAAACATGGACCCTACAATAGAAATTGTCCAGCTTACAGTCAATAGACCGATTTATTACATCGTAATATGAAACCATTAAAGTTAACTTTGACAAATGTGTCACTTACTACAAAGGCCACCAACCTCAGATAATAAAAAGACGTATTGTCAACATCTATTGTTCAAGTTGTTATCTGAGCCTCAACACAACAATCACGGTTGTTTTCACAATCTTGAAAAGTAGGTGGTGAGTTTATACAAATTTAGTATTGTTTTATAAACCAACAGTGGAAAAATACTAGGCAGTTAGTTCCCCAGCTTCCTCCTTCAGAACAGAATCCTTTTTTGTGGTTTAGAGCTTGATGCATTGGTGACCAGGTTCTGAAAACTAATTGAAAGAAGAAATGCAAAAAAACTTTGCCTTTAAATGTTGTTAGTGGAAGTGTTAATTATTCAGTTCTGCAACAGACTCAGTCTTTTTTAACATGCATTTGATAATGTTATTGGGACATTGTTAAATTGCTATAGTCAAACAATTTTTTTTGTACATGATTGCAAGGTCATTGTGCTTTGGAAATTATACAACTACCATACTGGTCCGACTAAGTGCCCACCCATGGTGTTGCCTGATCGTCTGATTTATACTGGCCAAGCTTTGACATTTCAGCAACATTTAATAAAAACCTTATCAAGGCAATTTTCTATGGTATGCCTTGTATTGTACAAGATACAGGATGCTGCCTGTGCTTGTAATGTACTATGTAGTTAAGAGAACAAGAACTTAATTGATAAGACCTAAAACATGTTCAGTATGGAACCTTGATTTATTAGAAGTGTCTGAAAATGCCCCGTTGTCAGATATACCGATAACACCATGATTAGTAAAGAGAAACAGTCTTGCTTTTATTTCTAGCCTTGATAAGGTTTATTAAATACTAGTGTCAGATATTGCTTAATTATTCAATCTGTATTCAACAAAATCTCAACTTTTACATAATTTATTATCATAAATACAACTTTGAATCACTACTGTGATATTTATAGTAACATACATCTACTTTGCTACTACATAATTGAAGGAAACACGATTTTACCAGAGCTTGACTGGAGCTTTTTACTGCAGCGAGATTTGCAAGCAAATAATCTGTACTGTTTATAAGCCTATCATATACTCTACTTTGGCATTCAACCTTGTAAAATATATTGCAATATCATGAAGAATGAGATAACTATCAGTTAATACATGAGCAAAATGTAAAACTGTCATCCATTGTATAGCATATTCAGATTACATTGTAGGAGCATGTTATGTTTATCGTGAAAAAATACATATTTTTTGTGCAAGAGCTGACTACAAAACCTATCCTTCTTAATGACGAGAGATAATGTTTATTTTTATCAAAACACAGTCAAGCAAGTACAGAAAATGTTCGCTGTCAGAAATGTCTTGAGAAGGGTCATTGGACGTACGAGTGTACAGGGGAAAGAAAATATGTACACAGACCATCACGAACTGCAGAAATGAACAAAAAATTAAAACAACAAAATCAACAGACTAACCAGCAAGATATTTTGTGAGTATGAAATGATTTACTACCTCTGTTGGTGCAGGATTGATAACTTACTGATACCAAAGGTTTTTTTTGGCTATGTGTTTTATCGATGTTGCAGAATGCTGTGATAATGTATAAAGTACGGGTAACATTTATGTGGCTGTCAATTGTCCTTTGCCTTGTTTTGTTAATTTTTTTTTTTTTACATAAAGTAAACTACTTCTTTTTTTTCACTCAACTTTTGATTGAATCTGCTGAGTTTTGTTTGGCTCTGCAGGTAACCAAACACCCTGACTTGCATCATACATGTATGTCCATTGTTATAGTTTACGTTTTGTTTTATTTGCTAACCATAACCTGCATGTGTTTTGCATTTATTGTTTTTCCCAGAGCTTCCAAAGAATCCACCCTGAGACGAAAAAGGAAAAGGTTTGTAAAATTACCTTCCAAACAGTTGATGTTTTATCACAAAAATGTAAATTTATTGAAAATATATAAATATACTTGGTAATTAGTAATATGTGCTGGTATGTACATGTATGTACGGTAATAAGTAGGAGCCACTGATTTACTTGATTTTCAAATACTGTAAAATACTTTTTGAGTGTTTTGTATGGAATTTATTTACACTGATTTTTGATGAGATGAATGTAAAATATAGGAAAAAAGGTATGTTCACTGAATTATTCCTTCATCGAAAATAGCGATATATTCATTTCAAGCAAAATAAAGTATTTTACAGTACCGGTACTGTTATATATCTAGCAAATAGAAATTATCATTCTGTAAAAGATGTATTTATGAATATGAGTTCTATACAATGGATGCAGCATGCGCATAGCATGAAGACTGGTACTTTAATTCCAGTGAAATATTCAACATCTTATCAATTATTGAAACGTTATGATATTTTCTTGCAGGTCAGAGTCATCAGAAAGCAGTTCATCTGACTCGGACAGTGACAGTGATAGCGACAGCTCTTCAGATAACTCGTCCTCTAGTGACAGTGATTCAAATTCAAGTTCAGATTCTAGTGACAGTAGCAGTGATAGTGACAGTTCTAGCAGTAGCAGTAGCAGCAGTTCTGAAGATGAACGACCACGGAAGAAAAGAAAATAGATTTGTTTGAATGAAGAAAGACTTCCCAGAAAGTGTCTTTTTCATCATTAGAAATTCTCGGTTTGAGGACGTGGAATTGGAATAAATTGCTTGAGAATCACTTACTCAAATGAAATTGTCACTGCTGTGATGTTTCTTGGACTCTTGTGAATGAACGAGTTTACTAGTCTATGTTACTAGTACCGTAAAATCTGTATTAGAAGCTGCATCCCTAATAGAAGTTATATCCATTCTTTTTGAATAATTGAGAATCAGAAATTAATCATTTCTCATATGTGTAGATGCTCTAATAGAAGCTACATCCCCTCTGTTGCATTGTACCATTTCAATAAAAACCGCGGCTTCTAATACAGATTTTACAGTAATATATGCTTTTCCTAGTGACAGCAATATGATTGACATTGTTTTTATTGAATTTTACATTACATTTTTTAAAACAGTATTTGCATATGTGATTCTTAACAGATAAGCTTATTATAAATTTTTTTTAATTACTCGTACCTTTCTATGAATTAAACCTAATTATGCAAGAAGTACTGACATGTCAACTGGTCGAATTGTACTATAGTAACTCAGAACACCAATGCTGCCCATGAAATACCGTACTGTAAAATACTTTATTTTAGCTAGAATTAACTTTTGTTATTAAGACTTTTTGGGTGTTTTGTATGGAATTTATTTTCACAGATTTTTGACAATTTGAATGTCAAATATAGAAAAAAAAGTATATTCGCTGGATTTTATTTTCACTAAATCATTCTTTCAGCAAAAATAGCGAAAATTAATTCCAAGTGAAAATAAAGTATTTTGCAGTATTGCATTATATATTGCATGTACTTTGCAAGCAAATAAGGTATTATATGTGTCTGACTACCATAATTGCTCTATCAGAATTGCATGCTCTGACTTAAGTTAACAAAATACGAGTGCCAGTACTAAGTATTTTACTCACATACACTTCTAATACAGCACACATGATTATTCCCACCACAATACTATGGAGTAAGTTTTTCAGTCTCGTTTTCATACAAGCGAGGACTATTAATTAATTTGGGTTTAATTTGCACAGACATGCATTGACCGATTACATTCAAACTTAACACATAGACAGTGTATGCTTTTTTACATATGCATGCCATATGAAAAGTATGGCTGACTGGTGGCCATTTTTCAGAGATGAACAGGGCAATTTGATTCAAACGGTAAACTGGGACCAAAGATTAAGAAACAGACAGTAAACATGAAATGCCACAAAACTTGATAGTGGCAAAATAAGAGTTTATTGGCTCATGTCAAAATTTTTGTTTCACTGTTGACAAAGTCAGTGCCATCATCCGTTGTCGCCAACTTTAACCTTTTCTTAAAAACTGGCTAAAGTATGTGTTTTATACTCCCTAAAAATGTACCTTCTTTCTTAGAATTGATTAACATATCTTGATAAGTTTAATTTAATTAATTTTAATGAATTTTTTTGGTATAAATGCTATTCATGACTTCTGATTTCATATACATGTATAAGTACATGTACGTTGGATAGATGTCTGTTACATTTTTTGTGACAATACTTTCAAATCACTAATTTCACTAAACATTTTAGGTAATTTGTTGATTTCTTATTGGAGACAATAGTCTGATTGTTTTCATATTTTATATGTATATTCCTCAGATAGACCTCAGAAATGTTTATTTAGTGATAACTTCAACTCCAGAATTTTATTGAATATTTTTGGTATAAAAATACTATTTCTGAAAAGACCAGTTGCTTTGATAGTTTTTATGTTGACACCATCAATGAACGTGTCTCAGACTTGTTCATTTAAAGGCAACAACATTAATTCCTAATTTACATAGTAAGTGGATATTTTTACCATTTAAAATGCTACTAGCAACATCTTTTTAAAAACTATGAGCTTGATTGATACGAGTGAAATGAACCTGTCTCAGACTTGTTCATTTCAAGGCAACAACAGTAATTCTCTAATTTAAGAGAATCTTTCCACCATTTTGGGTTAGATATACTATTATCAACTACTTGCTTGATTGATACTAATGAAATTAATTATCCTGATTGATTGACAAGACTGAACACAAGAGGAACTGTATTTATATAAGGTGTACTGAGCCTGACAGTGTGATTATTAAATTTATCACTATCCATGTTGAAAAACTTTTTACTTTAAAGCGGTATGTGCTCTGAAAACCAACATATTTGATAAATGTTACTCACTGATCAGCACTAGCTTGCAAATCCTTAATGATAACTTGTAGTGTTTAATTAACAGGCACACAAACAGATTTATTGAATGCAAATAATATCAGTCACTATAAATATGCAAAAAGTGCAACCTATAGCAATATGCTGCCATTTCAGATATGAGAGTATGCTGAGAATATTCAGTTAAAATATTCTGTACCGGTAGATCCAACTTTCATTGTCTTGTATATTTGTTTACAAATGTGCAGATATTAGTCATTGAACTGTTTTCTGACAATGTCAATTTACTGTATTTATCTAGAAACAGTAAGTGAAAGTTTGTTCATGTTTTTAAAATAAATTCTATATTTATTATTCATGTCTTACATACTGTTTTGCATACATACAGGTATAAGACTTCTACATAGTGATATTGCTTAGTCTAGCTTGAACACTCTTATCGTATGTCCTTAGTATACTGTAAAATACTTTATTTCAGCTGGATTTAATTTTCACTCTATAGACTTTTTTGGCGATTTGTATGATTTTTGAAAATTTGAGTATAGGAAAAAAGGTATATTCGCTGGATTTTATTTTCACTGAATCATTTCTTCAGCGAAAAAGTAATCCACAGTATTTACTAAGAGATGACCACCGGTATTGTCTTGCATGGACACATTAGCAGTTCGATAGGGTGTTCTTTCAGTCCATGTTACTTCTTCCAATTGCATATGAAGCAAATAAGTGTTCGCAACTAGGGGCACAATATATGGGCGTTTGTAATTACTCCACAATTTCAAATACCTACTGAATGTATTTTTGGGGTCAAAGTCTATAGGGGGGGATAAGAGCCCTTTCATCAGAGAACCGCTGAATGGAATGCTATTAATTTCCCTATGATGACAGAATACTTTGTCATTCGATAGCCAAATAATTTAAAAACAACTGGAAATGAACTTTTCTCAGCGACGCATTTTCTAATTTACATCAAAAAAAGTATAGAGTGTCACAGAACTAAATGCTTCAGAACTAATTATAAGTATATTCAAAATTTTGAACAATTGGTAATGAATGTGCATTATATTTTGGCAATTAGAGAGATTTGTCCCCCCCTGTGATGCCAGTGACAGTTTTATCCTGCCAACCCCATATACTTTATATTAAATAAATTTGTAATGTGTACCATCATGCATTATGGAATCTTAGTACAATTACCCATAGTTATATAAATGAGAAGAAACTGGAATTACAAGCAAGCTTTTATTATCAAAATAATAGTTTTACAATACAATGTGCACACTATTACATGAAAAATATTTATCTGGTCGAGTCTACTCTTAGTATATATATAATTTACTTGTCTACAAATTATTATCTGAATGTGTCACAACTTATGATCGTAGATCACAATGCAAAATAGATTACATTTCCCATGAGGTAGACTGACATAGCAAAATTGGGGTCCTACTAATTAATGTGCGGTCCTATTGTTGAGCGATAACCAACATTAGTAAACAACATGGCGGACTAGACGAAATGCCCTGGCGTCGATCATAAAAAGTGTGGATAGCTGCTGGAATTCGCCACTGTTTTAAATTTTGAGCAAAAACGAACATTATACTGTACAAAGATAGCTGCTGCTGCTGCAGCTGCTGCCCCACGCGTTAGATATTTCCCCCTGTTCGCCCATGTGTTAGGTGTTCGCCCCCGCGTTAATTAGTAGGACCAGCAAAATTGTGTAAACTGTTTCCCCCATCCCTTCTCTAAAAGAGTTCAAATCATACACCTCAGTAAAATTTTCAGTCCATTTAGTGCTCAGTTTTAATTGACATCTAATAATTGAACACCTCTGTAAACTAAGACTGCTTTTTCACTTCAGTGTTTCATTCATGATTACACTGGAAATGAGCCCTTTAAATCAAACAGTATTCTTGATTCAGGCAGGTTTCACTTCAAGACCTCTATAAACTGAACATTTAGATCGGTTTTACTGTAAGACCTCTATATAAAACAGAACACCTCTTTTACTGCATCCCCCTTGTATTTTGCATCTTTCACATGCTTTTCAGTTTTAGAAATGACTCACTGAGCACACTGGTGAATATAACCTGTTATCTCCTTCAACCAGAGTATTTCAACTTTGTGTAATAGTTATGCATCAAAACAACTGGCAGATAAAAAATACAGATTTAACGGTGCTTGTCAAAGGAAAAAGAATCTTGTGTAAACATGGCTCATACACTCAGGAAAAAAAAAAGAGTTCTCCATTTACAGGAATTTACACGCACAAGAAAGTATACGAGTGAATTTGATAACACATGGCAGTCGAACGAGCTTGTAACAAACTGGTACATATTCTGCAGTCAAACAGGTATTTCCAATTGATAGTACTTATCTAACAATGAGTCTTCTATTTAAATATTTCTCATACAAGTTTTTCACTGATTTTTATTTACAGTTTCATATTTTGTAATGTTCTCAAAATTGAGCAATTTTGCAATGAGTTATTGTTGAACTGGTCTACGAAGAAACGTTACGATTGAATTTTATATTATAATGTCATATAAAAACTTTACATGATTTATTATGCTCTTTTTGCAAAGATGAAAATAATCTTGAAATCACTAAGCCAATGTTAACTGACTGATATTGAAACCTTACCAGATAACTTCTGCACGCGAAAGGGAGAACTGGACTAATAACTAATTAGATTTCATAGAAGCTATTAAGAGGAAAACATTTTGGCATACACTGCTCTTTCCTTTTTCTTTCTCTCTTCCAGTATATTTTTCACTTTCATCAGCTCATTCCTAATTCCTGTAAAGACAAATAAGTTTACATAAAATGCCACTGTTGTCTATCCTGACCTTTTTATGTGCAAAGTTTGAGTGCCGACAAATAGTACAATTTGCTAGAGAAACCATACTCCATGTTTGAGACTGTGCTAGAGCTGTAAGATCATCTTCCAATCATATTTGTATTATGACAATTTATTACATTATATCCTGGTGTCAACCAGTCCCAGTCTTCCCAAAGTTGCACAAGTTAGTGAATGAATCTTGACCAGTGAGTTTGTGGCACACTCGCCTAGGTAGGGGTTGCTCTTTTTTGGTGTTCAACTCAAAGTAAGATTTGAACTCTGGTCGCAATGCCGATGCAACAACCACTATGCTATCAGGTGACCGGCAACATATAGTTTAGCCCTGATACACTTCATTATTTTTGCAGCAAGGTAAATCCCAAAATAGAAAATCAGCATTGAAGAGATAATTCAGAGTTTGTTCTAAATACTTGTATGGTTTGATTTGTCTAAAACCAAATTACGATAATTCTAACTACAAGAATTGCGGTATCATTATGTACTGGTAACAATGGAAAAACTGAATTTAGCTTTTTACCTTTATCACTTGGTTGCAGTTTTTGAGCTTCCAGTAACTGAGGCATGGCATCTTCATGCCGATTCATTGCAGTTAATGCCTGTGCTTTCCTGAAATATGCCTTAGCACTTTTGGGATCCACATCTAATGCCTGTATCAAAAGAAAGAAAATGTATTTCTGGATGACGCTATGGAAATCTGACAATCATTTGACAAGTATTCATATCTATTCAACAATCTATTGGTCATTTAGAGAAAGGTATAATCAAAAACAGTCCCCTGCTACTCTTTGTGATTCTCCCATTTTTTTTACATGCATAGGTTTTATGTCACTTTCTGACTCAATGCCGTAAAGCAGTGAGTGGATGAACAGCCAATATAACCCTGATCACTAATCTTTTTTGAACAGTCCCAATGCAATACGGAATGCCTGATAACGTAACTACACAAGTGTGGCTTTGTCCATAGACCAAAGATAAAAAGATTAAGATAGAAGATTACTCATATTTTTTGAGAAAGTTGGCCACAAATCGCATAACAATGCTTCTTTTAGAAGCCAAATTTTTGAAAAAAATCAGGACAACAAACAGTACCCCATCATTCACAATATAACATTTTTTCAGACTATGTCACCAGTCTACAATTTGAGATATGGCATAATATCTCTGCCATAGAAACCTATGGTGAAAGCGTTATAATACTGACAAAATGCTCACTATCCGCTAAAATAAAATTTTCCCGAAAATTAGGCTGGTGACCCCCAAATTTGTTCAGGTCAATATCCTTATATTGTCCAGGAGTACAATTGATTGTAAAATGAATTAATTCTGGATATTTGCTTTATGAGTAGTCTTCTACCCTAATGTAGATATGAAATGTAAAACAATGAATCCCATAAACAAAATGTTTGGTTGTGATTGAAGCACAGTAGGATACCAATAAACTCTAATAATAATACCTTCTCGGCATTCTCTAAAGCCTGTTCATGTTGGTTTAATTTCAGACAACAAAACGATGCGTTGTTATACATGGGCAGAACTACACCTAGAACTTTTTCCTCTTGTTCCGCTGTTAGATCTGTTGGTTTACCGTCTTCCAAATATTCCATGTATCTGCATGGTAAGAAATGGTAGTTATGACATTTGTACGCATTCTAGAAATTTACACAACATTGATTTAGAAGATATGTGTATGAAACAGACGTGATATGAAATGTAACCATAATTGAAGTCACACAAATTTCAATATGATCACAAAATAAAATTTTCCAAGCATCCACTTAATCCTAAGATGCCACTGAACTTGAATAAGTTTGAATGATGAGGACATTATTTATTAATTTAGGCGTCAGATGAGAAAAAAATATCAGTTTGCCCGCATGCCAAAACTTCACTGTGGTTGAGGTTTTTGGATGGCACACATATTTTCATGAATTTTGTGAAAGTTTTGAAATCTAGTTGCAGCGAAAATTATTCTGGGGGTTCTACTTGTACCAACGACTTCGGAAAATGTTACATGAATGCCACAAAAATAATTTCTATGCGGGTAAATCAAGTGATTTACAGTATATATTGTTTCCTCAAACAGCTTGCTAATAGACCATTTTCCGTACACTGCGAGAATCACGCGTTATGCGTGAAATCGAACGTAAAAACAGGACAAACAAAGGTCATAGCGTCGTAGTGGCGTCAAACATCGCGTGGGATTCGACAAACGCGAAAGTATTTTGGGGACATTTCCATGCTTAATAATGTGCTGTCCACATTTGATGATAGGCAATTTCGATTAAGTAAGGGTATTCGTAAGCAATATTCCTCTGTCGAAGATCGGCCGGTCGATGTGAGTGACGAAATAAAGAAATTCGAGTTCAAAATCAAATCGTTCGATTTTTGCGGCAGACGTTCGACGCGCGTCTTTCATGCATCTCGCAATTGTACGGAAAATCACCTATTGTATTTTTATATTTATTATATTAATCAAGATATTTTCTTTTAAAATTTCAGTGTAAAATGAACTTTCAGAGGTGAATCTATAAGTCCATGTTTTATGAATACGTTTAGATAGCCACTAAAGTGATTGCTATGCCAAACAATGTACATTACACATGTCATAAAACTGAAGTCATTCCTACCAATCTACACAGATACAGTCGAAGTTATGGGTGAAATCATTGTACAACATGCACAAAATCTAGCTCTTTTGGTTTAATGAGTTGATAGGATACCAAGGATGTGGAATAACCCAACTGAACTAACCTGATTGCTTTCAAGTACTTGTCTTTAGCCTTCTCGTAACTTTGCTCCTTGAATAATTTGTTTCCTATTTGCTTTATGAATTCTGCCACCTCCATGACCTTTTGAAGCTGAATGCGAAACAGAACATGCGTTTATGACAATTCTTGACAGGACCCAACACTATCAGCATGCAAGTTAATAAATTATCAATATTCATCTAATATCATACAAGCATTCAGAAATATTCAACAAAT